CTGATAAAAAGAATGACTGAACTTCACTGCACTGCAAGCTTGATAGGAACCTCATTCCATTAGTCAGGGAGAAGCCTGGGGACCAGAAAGTTTGGATGCTGCCCCAGGCAGAGTGGCAGCCTGGGGAGCCCCTTCAAGGAACAGCTGAGCAAATCCTGGGCACACTCTCAAAAAACAACATGGAAGCCAAGTTCCTAAGAAACGCACCCCATGGGCACTTCCAGGTCAATTTCCCCAAGCAATCTGGACAGAGAGTAACCTCTGGGCCAAAGTATTCTTCTTCAAAGCACTGCTGTTAACTGGTGACTTTTCTTAGGCCAGGAAGAAGGGCCATCATGTGTGAGTCAGTAAGGAGGAGCTGGTTGACTATTTGAAACCAAAAATACCTGGCCTAGGTTAGGAGCTTTCTTTTGACCTCTGATGGACTGAGCTGCCTGTAGAGAGTACTTAGACAAGACTGGGATTAGGGCCTCAAGGATATGTGACGTTGCCCCATATCTACAGGTAATATCAACCAGAAAACTAAATTTTGAGAAATAAGTCTTTTATTGTGTTGGTCTCAAAAAAAAAAAAAAATAAAATCATTATTGTTGCTATTACTGGTGTTTCTCAGGCTTAACATTTTCTGTCTTGCATTTATAGTTAATCCCCATGTTGAGGGGCAGGAAGAGGGAGCCACCAAGGGGACAGTAAGAATTCAATGGTCCGGGCTCGGCTCCTATAGCTCAACCGGCTAAGGCGCCAGCCATGTACACCTAAGGTGGCAGATTCGAATCCCCAGCCCGGACCCGCCAAACAACAATGACAGCTGCAACCAAAAAACAGCCAGGCGCTGTGGCGGGCGCCTGTGGTCCCAGCTACTTGGGAGGCGGAGGCAAGAGACTCGCTTGAGCCCAGGAGTTGGAGGTTGCTGTGAGCTGTAATGCCATGGCACTCTACCCAGGGGGACAGCTTGAGGCTCTGTCTAAAAAAAAAAAAAAAAAAAAGAATGCAATGGTCCGGGCAGCCCCTGTGGCTCAAGGAGTAAGGTGCTGGCCCCATATGCCAGAGGTGGTGGGTTCAAACCCAGCCCTGGCAAAAAAAAAAAAAGAAAAAAAAAAAAAAGAATGCAATGGTCCCTGCAGTGACCTCTTCTCTCTGGTTTTGGGGGTGCTTCTGCATGGTCTCTTTTCTAAATTCCCCTCAAAAAGGGTAGGTGCTAGTCAAGACCCCAGCTCTTCTCAAAAAGGGTAGGTGCTAGTCAAGACCCCAGCTCTTCTCCCCTCAGACCCTCTTAATGGGGATCACATCCAGCCTGCATTTTGTGTCTCCTACAGACTTTGCCCTCTCCCAATGCTCTCCTTTCCATCTCAGTAGCTAGAATCATAGCTTAAGAAATCACCTAGTGTAACGCTTCAAAAGAATTAATTTCAAAATTAAAGCAGTCATTTAAAAAATTCATTGCATGATTACATTTGAGTAAAGTGGGTCTTTTCCCAACCAATCGCATTCACCAGTCCTCATCACAGTATGGGTACTATGCACAAACACATGAGTTTTCACTGTGCATTGTGGGTCTGTGATGTTTCCTATTCCTCCTACCTAACAGGGCTAGTATGTTATGAAGCCCCTCTGCACTCCCCCCACCACATGCACCCTCACTCTCCAGATACTACATGAGTATGGATGGCCAGTGATTAATAATCAACAGGGCACTGATCACAATCACAAACCCTCACACATTTGCACACCCTAACATCCCCTGAGTCCCACAGTAAATAAGAAAGGAGAGATGAAAGGAGATTCCAAGGAGACAGGCATGCTGTTTGTACACAGTGAGGGGAGAACAAAGAGAACTCAGAGCCTTGGAGGTGGCAGGCAGGGAAGGCAGGCGAGACAGACTATAACGGGAGTCAGAGAGAGTGAATGAGGGCACTGGGTCGTGCCAATTACCACCTAGCTGCTCCCAGAGGGTGACATGAACTGGAAGAAGAGAAAGGAGGGGAGCAGGAAGTGGTGTTGATGCCATAGCTCAGAAAGTAGGGACAAGAGTGAGGGGAGGTGCAGATGGGGAGCAAAAGCTAAGCTAATTCCCAGGAGAGACCCAACCTCCTGTTTTCGGAGATCACCCTAGACCTCTCCTGCCTGGCTGTGCTCCTGGAGGCTGCAGGGTTATGGCCAGGCAGCTGGATGGCAGCGTGAAGGAGGAATTGTGCTCACAACAAAGCTGTCAGTCCTGGAGATCATCCGACCCCAGCCTGGTGGACAGGAGCCACCCTGTGGCTGTTAATGCTCTCCATTTATTTGGCACTTTTAACTTATTGCAAATGCTCTCATGCTAATGATTTCATTTAATCTTCAGCACAACCCTGGGAAAGAGGCACTTGACTGGGATTGTTATCTCCAACACACTTCTCCCTTTTTTACCCATTGGATCTCTCAAGAGCCTCCAAACTGTTTCTGCCATCCCAGAAAAATTCAACTCGGAACCAGGAGGTGCCTTGGGGCTTATGGCAAGGTTGGGTCCTCTCTTTAGGCTCCGTTGTGGGCTTGCTGGCTGCTGATTGTCTTGGGCTGGGTATGACGAGATGTCACAGGATACAGAATCAGTCCCCTACTGGAATTTCCCAGGCACCCCTCCCCCACTGCTTGTATCTGAAAGCCTGGCACATAATGACCATTTCACCCACTCCCCAGGAAGCTATGTCAGGCTTCTCCTCATTAAGCAAATGGAAACTCATGGCCTGGATGAGCAAAGGCCTTTGCCCTGAGTCACACAGTGAACACATACAGAAGAATCTGGGATGACTTAGAAAGAATACAGGTCTGGGGACATCAGAAAACCTGGTTCCAGTCCTTGTTCTGCCACTTATTAGCTAGGGTTACTGGCTGATGAGACAGTCACTTTACCTCCCCAGCCCTGGTTTTTCATAACCATCAAATAGAAATAATAATACCTATCTCTTGGGGTTGCTAGGAGGACTAACGAGATTAAGATGTCAAAGCGTTACATAAAAATGAATTACTCTGATTATTAAGTAGCATAGTTAACATCAGGACTGATACCACAGAAAGAGCTGGACCAAGCATAGAAAGCTGGGCTCTTCTCAACTCACCTGTGTGGCCCTGGGCAAGTCGGAGCCACAGTTATCCAAGGTCTAAGACTGGGGTTTTGCATGGTCTACACCTCTGATGCAAGAATTCTGGCGTTGGCCACCATGATCTCTTGATTGTCCTATTATCTTTGATCTAATAATCTTACTGAGAGGAGCCAGTCAGTTCCCAATAGTGGAAACCTTCATTCCTTCCCTCTACTCCTCTCTGCTGGCAGTGAAGCACACTCTCCCCTTTCTAGCCCTTAGCCTACCAATTTTAAGGGGCAGGCAGGTCTTGGTAGTAAAATAAATGACAAACTGACTAGGTAAGACTTCCCAGTTGAAAACATCAGACTACTTGGATTCCCTCCTTCGTTGGGAGGCCTGCCTTTAACACTCTGCTTCTTCCAGGTGGTCCTGATGGTGCCAGATCCCTGATTCTTTCCTTGAGGAAGCAGCTTAACAGAACCCTTGCTGGGCTCACATAAGTGAATTAAATATTAAATACAAAAGGCCGGAGCCCATGGTGCAACAGCACATTCCCAAAACACAGACAATGGCACACAGCTCATCTATCACATTTCTGGTGGTCATAGGCTGGGCTTCTCTGTTCTGCAGCCCACACTCCTAAGAAGGAATAAGAATTGGCAATGTTTTGCTCTTCCCAGCAAGCCCATGTTTCCTGTGTCCTTTCCTCAACCCCCCATATTAAAGGCTCCAGGGACCTGGAAATGCCTAGAACGCTGAGCTGTGGCATCTGCAGCGTTGAAATTGAATAGGTCTGTGACTGGCCAGGCAGGGGGCCTCTGTAGTTCAGCTCCATTTAGGCCCTACAGGATTCCATGGGAAAGGGACCAGCTCAGGAAGGATGCTGAGGTCCTGACATCTCTCAGGGCAATGGAGAACTGGATATTACTGGGATGAGGCCTGGGTGTAGGAGCCAGTTAGATCAATAAATTCTCAGATTAATATAGGTCACAGAACTGCCAGACTAGTAGACCCTCACCTATCACTCAAGCCAACTCTCTACAAAAAGGTAAACTGAGGCCTGGGGAAAGCGACTTCCCCAAGGTCACTCAGTGAGCTGTAGAACAGCTAGGCCTAGACTCAAGGTCTTTGGTATGAAGACCTTTCCACCCTAGCTCCTGCATAACCCTCGAAATCTCCTTCCAAAAGATGGCAGGCAATGGGCCCTGCAATGTCTGGGCCTAGGGGAACATTTTAACAGGGAGCAGAATCCATTTAGTTCTTGCCACCTAGGAACTGAAAGAGCAAGAGGTCCATGGGTTCTAGCTCAGCTCTGTCACTCTGTAGAATGGAGCCTTGGTCACATCGCTTCTCTAAGCCTTAGTTCCTCACCTATGAAATGGGCCTTTAAGACCCACCACCCCGGATGGCTACTGTAAGGGTCAAATAAGACCAGGTATGTGGGGCATTCTGCAAACTGAGGTGCTACTTAAATGACATTTTTAAATGATGTGAGCTTTGAAAATACTGCGGAAGTCTCCGAGGAGGAGGCAATACAGATGCAAAAGCTCACACTCAAGAAAGGCTTACACACCGCCTGCCAATCCCACAGACCTGACTGGTCCTGGAGCCACCAGCAGGGACTGACAGCAGCAAGTCAGACCACCCCAACCTCACTGGCTTGAGAAACTGCCCGCCTGCCCACTGTGCTGCGTGGCTTATGTGCACATTTGTGTGTGTGTGTGTGTGTGTGTGTGTGTGTGTGTGCATGCGCTTAGCAACCCAACATCACAGCAATCTGTCTGGCTGTTCCAGGGGCACTGTTGGCAGGAGGGCAGTGTGTGGTGCCAAAGGAGGACACCCCATTTCCAGCCAGGTCACATACCCTCCAAGAAGATCCTCCCAGTCCAAGTCCCTACAGGGACCTCCCAAGTGCCCTGGCTCCTTTGGGGGCCTTACCTTGTACTTGGCCGCAAGCAGCTCTGTGGCCTGCTGCTCCCGCCGCAGGTCCTCCAGCATCTTCTCCTTCTCTTCTAGAAGCTTCTGCTTCTCCTCACTCACCAGGCTGCGGTCGTCCTGAATGGCCGCCTTCTCCTCCTCCAGCCGCTCCTTCTGCTCCTGAAGGTAATTCTCCATGTTCTTTTCGAAGGCTGACTCCAGGATGGGCTGGGGTGGGTGGTGGTTGTTGTTGTTGTCATCCTCCTCTTCAGCCACCCAGGCCTCAATCACTGGCCCCTCAGGGTACCCCGCAGGAGCTGACTCGGCCTTCTTCCTGCGGCTGCTCTTCCTCCGGGGCCGTTTCCCCAGCATCCCCCTTTTCTCCAGCTGGGCCTTCAGGCGGGCGATCTCCTCTTGGAATTCCCGCAGTAGTGTGTCCTTGGGGTCCTCATTCACCCGGGGCTTGTTCTTGATATTCTTGGCTCGGTTGGCAAAGCGCAGGGTAGAGAGGCTCTCATCGTAGCTGTTAGAAGCTGGCCCCAGGGTGGCCACCATGATGGTCTTGGCATTTCCCCCCAGCGAGTCTTGGAGCAGCCGCGTCAGCTTGGAGTCCCGGTAGGGGATGTGGGTGCTTCTGTTACCGGCCAGAGCAGCAATCACATTGCCCAGGGCAGACAGTGAGAGATTGATTTTGGAAGCTTCCTTAGGTCTCTCTCCACCACTGGTGCCACCACTTCCACCACCACCACCACCACCACCCGTGGACTGTGTGGCTGTCCCTCCAGGTGTGTTGGGGCCTGCTTTGTTCTGCCTTTCACTGCCAGCCAGGTCCACTAGGTTGAGCTTGCCCACACGGATGTGCTCCTGGCCATCAGAGCCACGCTCGCTGCACTCCACAGTGATGACAAAGATGGCATGGGAGCGGGAGCTGACCTCGTTCATGTGGGTGCTGCCCACTGCCCGGGTCTGGTTCCCCAGGTTCATCACATGTTCGATCTCCTTGACGTTCTTGGTGACGAAGGAGGAGAGGTCCTTGATGTAGACCCCTGTCTCAGGGTTCTCCTTCAGCTCTAGCCTCTTGCCAGGCTCCTTGGAGAGCAGGTCTCGAATCTCTTCCTGGTAGATCTCCAAGTAGGAGGCCCGGACCAGGTACTGCTGGTTCTGGGAGCGGGAGATGTGGGTGAAGATGTGCTCAAAGGCGTTGGGGATGACCCCACGCTGCTCGGGCTCCACCCAGGTCCCCTGCATGGTGTAGGTCTTGCCAGTGCCCGTCTGGCCATAGGCGAACACGGTGCCATTGAAACCCTGAAGCACGGAGTCTATCAGGGGCCTCACTGTTTCATCGTACAGATCTGCCTGCTTGGAGTTGGCATCATACACAGCATCAAAGGTGAAGGTCTTGGGCAGCTCTCCCGGGGCCGCGCGGGGGTTGCGCAGGGTCACCTGGCCCAGTTTCACGTCCATGGTCAGGATCTGCTCGTGACCAGCAGCCTCCTCCTTCCTGCTGAGGGGGCGGCACCGGGCCACCACCTTCAGGGCCTCGCTGGCCTTGGTCTTACTGGCCATCTTGCTGCTCTGCCCTTGCTGCCCCCGACCCCCTCGGCCGGGGCGGTCCTGCTCTCCTGCTCCCTAGCTGGGGATCAGAGGGCTGGCCCAGCCCCCAGGCGCTTCTCTTCAATCTGCATGCAGCCTCCTAGGGTGGGGATGCTGGGAGGTGGCCCCGCCGCTGCTGCAGTCCGGGCCTCCACCGCTGTCCGGTCCTCGCTGCACCAGCTGGAGGGGTAGGATTAGGCAGAATCCCCTGGCAGCCGCGGGAGCAGCGCCTGCCGACTGGCAGTGCCCGGAACCCACCCCATGTCTGGGCAGAGGGAGCGCTGCCGTAAACAGCTCTGGCAACAATGAGATAAAGGAAGAGGCAAATGGGATGGGGGTGGGTGGCGGAGCTGTCTTCTCCTTCTCCTCCTCCCTCTAGGGATCCATAGCGGGGCTGCAGGTCTTGGGTGGCCGGGGGTCCCGGCCCTTCCGAGGGCAGAGGCTCACCTGGAGTCCTCCCCACTAGCTGGGGGATCATTCATCGCAGCCACCGCGGCTGCTGCTGCCTGTGCCTCTGCCTTCCCCGCCGCCGCCACCGGAGAATGAGAGAGAAAAACAGAAGAAGATGGGGCGGAGCAGCGGCAGCGAGAGTGATGTTGCCGCCGCGCTGCGGCCCCAGCTAAGCCTCCCGGCTGGGGTGGGGCAAGGGGCGGGGCCGCGGAGCGGGAGACGAGGGCCGGGCGCGGCCCGCGTGCTGAGGACTGGGGAGCATCGCCCGCCCGCGCCCCCGCCGGCCGCTGCGGGATGACAGGCTCCAGCGCCGACCGGGTCCGGCGCCCACCGGCGGGATGCAGCGCAGCCACCGCCCGCCGTCACCCCACCGGGCGTAAGCATGCTGGGAGTTGTAGTCCTGCCTTTGTTAACTGGGTTCCAGGTCGCTAATGCCTTCTCCAGTCCTCCAGCTCGCGAGGCCCCGCCCTCCCCTGCGTGCAACCCCTTAAGTGATTGCTGAGGTTGCACCACCCACGCCTGTTCCCTCCGCGGCTATAGTGCTCGGTCTCCTCCTTGCTCCAGCCTCTCTGCCTGCAGATGGGTGCACGTCACCCTTCGCCTTCAGGGTGTTACCAAGCAAGCCTCCTGAAGCCTAACTGCCAAACGTTTCTTTCCTCTCTCTACCCTGGGTTCCTTCTGGCCTTCCAGCTAATTCTGTCAGTACCTGGCTCCATGTTGTGTGAAAGCCTCTCAGTTTTCTGACCTCCCAGCCTCACCTCCCCTGCTCTCCTAGAGGGAATCTGTGTTGCACACATTCATTCCTGCACTTACCCAGAGCCTGCTGAGTCCCAGGCCCTAAACCAAGAGCTGGATCCTTCTTGTCCTCAGGGAGCAGACATTCTAGAAACCATGTTTTTTCTTTTCCTTAACTGGCCTTGCTGTGTTGCATCTTTGCGCTTTTGCTGAGAGGCCCTGTCACCCTTCCGTACTTGACTCCTTGCTGCTTGGGTAGTTCAAGCACCTCCTCCTCCATGAAGCCTTCCTGGACCAATTTTTTCTCTCCATAGCAGAAAGAGACATAGAATTTGCATAAGACAAAACCTGGATTCGAGTTTCAGTTCTGATCTCTCTCCAACAGTACCGTTACTTACCATGCCCCAGCCTTAGTTTAAAAAATTATTTCTCTCCCAGCTGGGGAGAGAAATAATACCTACTTCATGGTGTGGTTGGGAAGCTTAAATGAAACAATGAATCATGAAGTATTGCACCAAGAAGCCCTTGATACCTACTGGTGGCCCAGCCTGGATTGCCTGACATCTCCTGCTTCCCTGAGTATCTTAGATAGATGGGGTCTGTGCTGGGTGTTCCTCTAAAGAGTCTTCATATATTTCCCTCTAGGATACAAATCAAGTACAATTCTCCCAGGCCAAGGGCCAAGCCAGAGTCCTATCCATGGTCCACTCTGAAGAGGGGAGTTGAGTCTGTGGCCTGAGTCCAAACTGTTCTTACTCTCCATGTGAGGTACAGATCGAGGAGGCGCAGTTATCTGAAACCTCAAGGACCTTCTTCACAAAGGCTCCAGGATAGTCTTTCCACAAAACATTTTCCAAGCATGTTATCCTCTAGGAGGCCTAGTGGTTTAGGTTTTCAACTCTATAATACCTATCTTCTTACCTCTTTCCCATCTCCAAGTCTCCAGGACTTGAATATCAGGTAGACTAGTGAGCACTTGCCCTCTTCTGAAGTTTCCTGGCCTTCCTCCACCCTCTCCCTGATCCAGCTCCACTGCCTGTGATTAACTTGGCTTTTGGACCAATCACTAGGTGGAGTTTTGGCTTTGTAGACTAACCTCTCTTGGCTCTGACAACCTAACTTTTGGATAGACCATTTACTTCTTATGTCACTTTCCTGTTGCACATGGCTTTGCTTTTTGAACACTTTCTCTACTTGGCCTAACACATCTGGCACTACACTGACCCTTACCTTGGTCTCCCCACAGATGTCACTATTGGCAAGGCATTTCCCCAGATCCTCCTATATAGAAGGGACATTGGAATCCCATTACTTATAAGATATGTGACCCAGAGTAAATTATTTAGCACCTCTAAATAGTTGTTTTCTCAGCGGGATAAGTGAGGATAAGAATGCTTACCTTACTTGTGGGGTTCGCATGAGAATTAAGTGAGATAATATATGCAAATACTCAAAAGACATAGAAGGCGCTTAAGAAATAGTACTTTTCCTCCCTTTTCTCCTTTGCATTGAAGGCTATTCACATTCTATGTGTCCCTTTTCAGCATCATCTTCAACCATTTTTCCTCCCTCTCACACATTCAAGTCTCAGCCACTCTGATTTGCTTATAAGTTCCCCCAAACACACCCTCGTTTTTCATGCTCCTGCTGTGCCTCTGCCTAAAATGTCCTTCTCACTTTGTTGTTCCTGTCTACACAGCCTCACCTTCCATTCATTCCGCAGCTCAATCTCTGTGGCATCGACTCCCACCACCCAGGAAAGACCTCTCTTACCCAGGACCCAGTGAGTCCCACGGTTCCAACTTTAGAGGGTCCTTTCCAATGAGAGCATGTGACATAATCTACTTTGTT